GCAGCAGATATTAGCTCAGGGCTAATCTTCCTCAAAAAAAAAAAAAAAAAAATTTATGGAAAACCTTGACAAATTCTGGTAGATACCAGGGCTACACTCTCTACTTTAAACCCCATTCATTCTGACGCCTGCAGATGGGATCCTAGGAAAAGTGGCAGAGGCCAAGGAAGGGTGAGAATTCTGACTAGAGTCAGTTCTCCTGGATTTCTGGCATGCAGGTGAGAGAGGAAGGTAAAATTTCAAATCTTGTCCCATTCATTTCGAAATCTTGACCCATTCGTTGTCAGTCCTTTCTCTCCCAGGACTGCCTTCTTGTTTGTCTCATTTTGTGTTCTGTGAACTTGGCTTGGACTTTCGCCTGCCTGGGGCATGTAGGTTGTCGGTTCTCAGGTATTCAGGCAGCTCAACCATCAGGTTGGGGTCCCAAACTTATGGCCAGACAGAAATGTGGGCTGCACTCCATCGGCAGCCTGGGTCCTACTGACTGTTGTCAGCTCTCAAGCGAACTAAGTCTTCTTTCTTGGGCTATCTTTGGGGGTGGCTCTGGATCTTGGGAGGGTGGTATCCTTTGCATCCTCTTTGGGTTTGCCTCTCGCGTTCAAGGGGTCGTTCGATATTGCCAGAAGTATTTACTATTTTCCCTGACTGAAACCTGACAAGATATTTGAAAGAATTTTTTTTTTTTTAAGTAGCTCTATGTTCAGAAAATCCTTTTGGTAACCTTAAACCTTAAAGTTATACTGAGATAGGTTAAATGATGGCTATTGATTAAATATCTAGATCATTTCCAAATAAGACAAAATCACTTTTTAACAATACTAATGGGAAAGGCTTTCCAGACAAAGGTATATTTAAATCAAATCTAGAGGGATGATTTGTCTCTCAGCAGAGAGATGACCATTAGCAAGACGTAAAAGCACCACCCACCTGAGGCGCGGGGGCATGTACTCACGGTTGATGGGACGAAGAGAAGGTGACTAGGTTTGAGCAGACCCTTGAGGGCCATGTGCATGATGCTGGGACTCTGAACTCTACCCTGTGGAGAACAGGAGGTCTCATCACTGTTTCTGGATGCTGTGGCAGCAGAGGCTCCACCTTTCTTTCCTTGCTCCCATTTTTCTTCCATTTTGTTCTTTCGCCTTTGCTTGTTTTCAACTTTTCCATTCCACCCATTAGGTATTTCAATTATGGATCCTAGAAATTGTTTTTAGAATAAGTTTTCAAAGGTACTCTTTGACTAAAATATAATTCCATGTGACACCAAATATGACTTTAAAAAACATGAGTGATTGCTTCCTAAGCATTCTTCTGCTGTGGACATTCTTCTGCTTCCTGGATTGGAGCTACCCCTGGCTTCCTTCCCCACCCCTTGAACCATTCTACTGGCATGGGGAGCGGGATCCGAACTGATCCTCACTCTGACCCACTGTGGCAGCAGGAGAGTGGCCTGGCTGTCTCTGTCCCTCCCTTTCCAGCTGCTGTAAAGGAACAGCAAAAAAAGAAAAAAGAAAAAAAAATGAAAAGAAAAGAAACTATCAGCGCTAGGGAGAAAATGAGCAAAGTGTTAGCAAGCTGCAAAGTGAGAGACTGCTTGGTTCTCTAATTAATGCAGCCTGGTGGCAAAGCAGTCCTTGCACAGACGGGGCTCTGAGTGAGTGCATGCTGCTATATACTTAGTCTGCTTTTTGGTTCAAAAACAAAGAGCAAAGGAAAAGCAACGCTCAGACAATATTATCTTCAGATAACACGTTTGCATGGTTCAGATCCTGAACCATCCGAGTCTGATGGCTCAGGATTTTTCAGTATCAGGCAACTCGCCCTGACACAGGTGTGATGGTGGAAGGGGCTCCATCCTGTGCCGGATGTGGCCCAGCTCCATTCCCTTCTGCGGGGCAGACGCGGTAAGGAGTCTCGCTAAGATCTGTCTTGCCCCATAGCCTGAGCCTCCACTGGGCAGAGGCACACACCTATTCAGCTCCTTACTGTCTTGTCAGCTTGTTTCATTTTCCTGGTTTTACTTTTCTGGGGGCTCTTTACCTCAGGTCTCCTCCTCACTATGGAAAATTGTGACCCTACAGCAAAACTATGCAGAAATGGGGTACGTAAGTCGATAAATGAATCTGAACTAATATCTGTCATCCAGCTTTGGACCATGAAAATGATCATTAACATTGGCAATGAAGGATGGTGAAAGGGAATCACAGGGAACCCAGCAGTGGGGTCAACACCAGCAGGATGTAGAGGTGGTGATAGGAACTCTGTCCTCTCTGTAGTTTGTAAATGATCAGTCTCAGTATCCGGCCTCTGAAGGATCTTGGCCAAGCCAATTAACCTTCCTGTGCCTCATTTTTCCTAGCTACAAAATGGAGTGAATCATGACATCACTTGTGGACCATGGAAGGATATTGGGATGGGAGTGTGGCAGGGATTAAATACTAAATTTATTATATAAAAATTTCAAGTGCTGTGTCTTGTAATTGAAACAGCTAGGTGGGAGCTGAGAGTAAACATTCAGGAATGGAATTGGAGCAAAGAAACTTCAGGAGAAAATGGCTTTCCCGCCATCTCTATATGAGAAGTAGGAGGGCCTGATGACTTCCATCTGGAAGAGAGTTTTCTCAGCTTTTCCCATTCAAAAATGTTCAGCGAACACTGTTGAATCCGAATGCTGCCAAACAAGTATGGAAGGTTAATTGAACTATTATTTAAGGTATGCTATTCCTATAAGAATTTCTTCTCCATATTTCAAGTAATAGCCAGGATTTTTGCAGGGTGGATAACAAAAGCAGACAGAAGTTATAACTATCTCTAGTCTTTTTTTTTAAAAGCTTTATCCCTTTGAAGAGCAAAATAATGAAGGAGGGAGAGTCTCCAGCATTAGGAAAAGGAGAGTACTTCTTGTCTCCGGCAACTTGAGTAGGTAGTAATAAGACATTGGAAGGACAGGTTCTTTTTATACACAAACACTCCGTGGTGGGTTTATGGAAGTAAGACCCAAAACTGGGGTTCCCAGCCTCAGAGTGTATTCCTGGTATACCACATGCGAGACAAGGAAGCAAAGAAGTGAGGGACTGGAAGGAACCACAGGAGCTTGGACAACACAGGTCTGGTGCTCATGCTAGGCTGGAGATGACAGAGCTTTTATGTTGGGAGAGAGAGGGGATGTGCTAATAATGACAGAGAAGGAAAATGGGGACACAGAGCCCATATCAATTGATTTAAACAAGATAAAGAAAACAGTATCCTGCACACCTGAGTTCAAGGACTAGGATTTATACCCATTACACTGAATTTGATGTTAAGTATTTGGAGATATGAGAGTAGCTGTGGGGGGAACAGCACCCACATCAGAAAGCTTGGAAAGCCCAGGTAGGATTCCATTGAAACAAGGCTCTGTGGGACCTACATCCCCACTGGGAGTGATGCTCTCTGGCCACAGGGAAGATGGTTTTCTCTTGTTCAGTGGAATGTTTTGGGGTCATGGGTTCAAAGCTGTGTACCTGAGGAAATGTTCCCGGGTCTTGGACCCAAACTTGGGTGGGCTCAACACATCCAAATCAGCCTAAATCAGCAAAGGGGAACAAGTAGGGAAAAGAAGGCAGCTGGCTCCTTTGTTTCATAGTCTCACTTTGGGGTCATGGGCCCTGGGGAAGAGAATTTGGGTTTAGATCAAGAATTCCCTAAAAGGCACAAACTGGGCACATTTTGGCTGTAGCTGCTGTTGTTCACTGTGGTTGTGGGAGGAAACAGTGAGGAGGCTAAGCATAGATCATTCTATTTAATTATCTTTATTCTACTAGTTAAAGTTCAGGGATTATCTGGGGATTAAATTTCTGCTGATTTCTTTACTCTCCTTATTATGAAAAATGGACTTTTGTCATTCAGGAAAAAAAGTAGAATTTGCAAGGCATACACAAACAGTTTTTAGATGGCAATAAGGTAGAAAACTCTGAACTCTCTTTATCCAGGACCTTAGCAAGTTCAAAAACAAAAAACAAGAAGAATATTTTTATGGTATCAACTTAAACTCTCTAAGACCCTAAACTGTCTTGACTGTCACAGATTGAATTACAGCCAACATCATTTGGGGGCTGCATTCCATAAATATGAAGGCCCTCCGGTGCAGCAGGCGTAGTTTTTGGTGTGATGGATACACCGGGGAGCAGACTTGGCTTTCAGGGAACTCTGTCCTGGTGGGAGAGACAGTAAGTAAACAGACGTCTGTGTCAACTTGTGATAAGCGTTAGAAAGGACACACAGCAGGCAAGGGAGAAACAGTGATGGCACAGGGGTCCTTCCCCTGCTTCCTTCCCTTTCTCCAGAAGTCTCCAGCTCTCTGTGCTTCAGGACTTTTGCAAGTGAAGCTTCCAGGCTGGACTCCCTTCCTCTTCCTAACAATTCTCTTTTTGCCTGGGCACCTCTCACTATCCTTCAGAGCTCAGCCCCAAATCACTTCCTTAAGGAAGCCTTCTCAGGCCCCCAGAAGAGATTAACTTCCAGTTCCCACTTCATGCCCGCCCCCAAGCTTCTTCGTGGTACTCAGCATGCTTGTGATGACTTGTGCGTGGAGCTGTTTAATGCCTGTGGCCCCTCCAGACTGTAGGCTCACAAATGCAGGGACTGTCTCGTTCACTGCTGACTCCGTAGAACCTTGTAGTTTGCAGAGCAGGTACTCAAAAAGAATTGTTGAAACTCAGAATAACTTTGAGTAAACCAAAATATTCCACTAAACGGAGCTGTCCCCTTCCCTAGCCTTTTTAGAAAACACTGTGCTTAATCTTATAGGCCCACCTAAATAATTTTGGCAATTTTTTTTTCCTGTAGCAAGATTAATCTACACAATTTGGTTTCATTTGATTATGAAGATCAACACTAACTTATGATGCCACTATGCTCCTTTCATTTCACTTTAATAATATTTATCACCCTCGGGAACCTATGCTGACTGAACTATAATTTAAAATGAATAACCTTTTATTTGTAAAAGATCGAGTCATAAATAGGCAGAATCAACCCATGCTTTTATTTCCATTGCATATAAAAATTTCATATGAAGGTATTGATGTACAGTACTATCCCCATGGGCTGTAAGAGAGGCTAAGAAACCACTAAAAGAATCATCATTTGTAATGTTCACACACAATTTACCACTCTGAAAACATATCCAAAGAAATAAAATTAAAAACAACTAAAATCAGTAAGGATTTTTTTGTAATTTTAGTGTCTCCTTTGTACTGTTTAAAACAAAAGTAATCAAATTCCTTTGGGCCAGGGCTGCTAAAATCTACAGTTTGTGTCAAAAAAATAAAATAAAATAATAGGAGGCTCATTTTTCCTAGAAAAAGAATCTCTCTTTCCACTAAGCCACGTGTTCCGAGGGCTGGGCAGCAGTGGCAGATTTCCACATCATCCACTGGGGATTTTTCAGTTTTCTGGAGCTGGCCATCGTGCAAGGTTAAATTCTAAAATTCTAAAGCAATATAAGCCTTGCAGAAACAAATTCTAGAGAATGGTGAATCCTTAAAACTGTGTGCTTAAAATACATGGATTGACACACATAAGAAAATTTGGTTATCTTAAAGAACTCCTCCAGGGTTAAAAATGACCCTTTCCATATTATATATTCTCTTAACATGACAGAACGCTGATGAATGAGTGACTAACCAACACGCTGATGAATTAGTAACTAACCTATGGCTCCAGTTTCAAATCAAGTTCATTTGCCTGTGTGCTCTAGAAGCCAAAACAACTTTTATAATCACTGGACAAGAATATATTTCCTCAGGAGTGTTTCAAAGTAGAAAATAATCAAATGCAACTAACTGAAGTAGCTCCTGATCAACAGATAGGGAGAACATCATCATGTACACAAGCCTGCTTCGTGTCAAGAAATACTTAGGACCTTGGATTTCAAAAAGCTCTCAGAATCGTCCAGAGGGTGCCTGTGGTTTTCTAAAATCCAGCCACTGCTGGAAACCCAATTGATTCAGAGCTTGGATGTAAAACGCCCAGCCCTAGCCCCGCCATTACCTTACTTTCAAATGCAGCAAAACGGAAGAAAATATTGGTTAAAGTTAAGGCACAGCCCTGGGACCAAAGACCTGCAGCTATGTTTTTTTAAATTTATATTTCTTTATGTATTTAATAGTTTTCTTGAATCTTCCATAAACAAGCTCTAAGGTGACAAGACTATATTACAGGAGAAAAGAAAATGTACAGGATTATGTATACACACCATTCATTCTCTCACCAAGAGTTTCCAAATATATCAACACCATCCCACGGGGGGATGATGTTTTCATAAGAACTGATAATTTACAATTAACATTACAGTATGTACATTACAATAAATACATGGTTGTAAACAGACAAACAAGACTGTATTACAGGTAAGGTCATTTGGTGAGAAAAAAATGCATGGCACGAAAAATAAATAATGCATTCAAAAATTATCATAAAGCTTTCTGTAAAATCCACTTCATTCAAGTTTTTTTTCCCTTGTCTGCAATTTGTTCTATCTACATTTTTCTTGTGAATTTTAAGTGATGAAAAAGAAAGTAAAATTAAAACAGCATTATTGTGTTCAGTAACTTGCAAGCTGAAATGTACTGGTTTTACGCAAACTTGGACTTTTTTTTCCCCATACAGTACCCAGATATTGCATTTTCTTATGGCATTTTAGGAAATGTAAAGCCACTTGTAAAAGGAAGTTCTTTTTAAAGCAGTGTATAATTCTGAAGCACACTTGGGCGAGAGAGGAGGAGGGAGAGAGAAAGAAGGGAGAGTGTAGGCAGATTGTACAATGCATTAGTCCCCGTCTCTTGCATAAGATATGCCTTTTTTACAACTTGATTGCCCATCAGTGGGTATTTTCACAACACGTGACCATTAAAAACCAACAAAATGAAAAGAAAAAAAGCCTCTCTTTTTCAGTGCAGTTATAAACCTTTTCAGGTATGGATTTGTTTGTAACATATTGCTGTTTTAATTTTTGTTTTCATTATTAAGATTCTAGGCACTCTGTGGGGGAAATACCAAGCGTTAGGGAGGGGAGAGAATGAGAATATTCTGGAAAAAGGAATAAACCCTAGATTCTCTGCCTTTTCTTCCAGACCTCCATCAGGGACAAATAAAATTAAAACAGAAACAAGTTTCTGTCAAACTTCTGTGTTCTTGTGAAATCACTTGACCAAACATAGGACATTATTTGAAAGATTACTGATTTTTACCGGGGGAGGAGGGTGGAAATCTGACAATTAGTTGATTCCTATTCTGCTCTGTATGAAAGATCAGAGCTACATAATTTTTCTATCAAAGATTCTAGGTATCACTGGATCTCAGGGGATTAAAACAGGGACTATCTTCAGCTTAGGTCATTTCCCTGCTGAGGACTTAGTTATTAGTCCCCAGAAGCCTCCTTGAGACATCCCAAATATATCTTTCTGGGTTAAAACTTCTCTGAACTGTTTCATTTACTTTCCATTTGGTCAGATACCCCCTTTGTCTCTATTTCAATTCTTGGATATCAAAGTGAAAAATGATTATTTGGGCTTCCAACTCTCTACAGAGAAAGTAAACACTTCATTAAGAGCTGAAATGGGAAGAAAGTCCAAACTAAATAAATGTCCCAAGATGCCAACTGACGGTAAATACGGGGAATTAATCTCTAAAATTGTAACACAGTTCTTGCTGCTAAATTCAGCTGAGTGATCTCTAATTTTTTATTTAGGCAGAATCTTCTTACTCAACCCAGTATTTTAAGATGGCATTATATGACCAAATATCTGTGGCAGTGGCATCATCAGCTCCTTTCCCTTAATGTATTTAAAGAAGTTCTCCTCTACAAGACGTGCTTATGGATCAATGATAACTGATGAAGCAATTGCTACAGGTTACGTGGCTGTCCATTAAGAAAGAGTAGCTGCGACAGTTAAAATCACTTCTCAAGAATTTTCTTCCTTAATCCCTTGGTGAAACCATAGAAACAAAAGAGCATTAGTTGTACTGGTGTTTGTTAATATATTCTGCCAATGTTGTTAAAAATTGCCTAGCTAGCTGTTAACTTTTCTCTGCAAATCAAGAGTAACAGCTGGTCATTACAGATGACCTCATGGCAGAAATGAATGCTAACTCTAACTGGACTACCTGTTTCTTTTCATCAGTCAGAAGGGTGGTGATATATTTGACAGACCCCATCTAGTGAACGTGGAGAGGTTCAAACACACGCTAAATAATAAAGCAGCACAAGGGAAGAAAGTTTTTCTTACTCTAACTGACTTTGAAAACAATACACATGAGCATGAAATGTGCAGGTTATTACAAGGACATGCACCTGTGAAATGACGGTCTATTGACACAGCAAAAGGTTATCAGAAGACACTAAGTAGGAAAATATCTAAAAAAGACTGCCCATTTTAGCTACTGGGTGTTTATATATCTCTCACTTGCTTCAGACAACACCAACTGATGAGTGAGTGTCCATGAGGCTTAAGACACGTTAGACAGAACGCACATCAGAGTATTACTGAACGAATATTCACTTTGCACACCGTGAAGAGAAATGTCAGTGGAGAGCAACTCTGCTTATCTGAAAAGATTAAAACAAAGAGCAAAGTCAACGAAGACCTACAAAAAGGGTTTCCTGCAACATAAAGTTGGTTTTTGTTTTAAAATATGGAAGTCATTCGTATATAAAACAATGAGTCACTACAAATCAGTTAATTGCTATGAACTATAAGGTGCAAGTAAAATTCGTAAATTAGATTTATCCAGTGTAGCACAGATTTGTACTGAAAACTTGCAAGTTACTCCTTAGAAAAAAATAACCAGTGGCAGATGAAGTTCTGAACATAGTTTTTTAAATATAATACCTCAATACATTTAATAATAAAAGTAAGCTCTACAAAAAATCTGTTTTACATATCATACAAAATGTAGAGGTGAGTGCAGCTCAGTGAACCACACTATTCAGTCATGTATCAGGAAGACTTGAAATTAGAAAATTATGCGATTTCTGCGGCTCATCTTCCTCCTGGTAACAGATTCGCGCTGTGTCCTGTTCCTGACCCATTTGTTGCTTCACCCATTAGTTCACTCTGTGTAATGCCTTCTTTCTGCTGAAAATATTGCAAACAAATAAAAAGAAAAGAAACCCCAAATCGTTATCAACTTTTGGGCTGCCGGCTGAGCCACACTCCCTTGAAAACATTGTGGAGTTAATTTTCTCTGCTTCGTCAGCTCTACCAAGCTGAAATCTTGTTAACGATGCTATTCGGGAAGATGTCCCCCTCGCTCCGATGACATGGAGGTGAAAAAACTAGTTACAATATTCCTGAGCGCCAGACTGAGTAGTCAAGGTCAGTTTTGTTCAACAAACGTCCTGGCAGATGACAGTGAGGTGTGACCATGGCTGTGGCATGTGACATGCACTTTGGAAACAATTTTTCTACTTAAAAAAAAAAAAAGGCATGAAAGTCTCTGCACTGTTACGTGTCGGGAGAACGGTCCTCTGCTGCGCAGGCTTCAGGCTGGCTCTCCTCCTCTTCCCCGACGGCTTCCTCCTCCACCTGTTCGTCCAGGGGGATCTCAGTGGACTCCGAGTCCTGGGTGCAGAGAGTCTTGGAGTCACTGCAGCTAGTGTCTTCTTCCACTTGACTTCCGCTGTCCTTTTCGGTGTCGGACTCGCCATCTTCCTCTAAAGTTAGTTCAAACTGGAACTTCTCGGTCTGACCCTGCCGGCCCTCCTCCTGGTCATCAGGCGCTGGGGAGGGGCTCTGAGGAATTGTGCTCTGGTACCATTCACGATTGTCCTCCAAAGTGTCCAAAATGTCCTGGGCATCAGGATGGACGAGGTCTGCCCACGTCTCCCAGAGAGGATGAACAATATAGTCTATGAAGCCAACCTAGGTACAAAAAATGCGATTTGAGTACAGGATTTGGGGCTAAGAAACAATGGAAAGGTTAACTAAATTCCACAAATGTATCTAATTTATATATATATGATATATATCATTTACAGAAAAATATATAAAATATAACATGGTCTGCAAATATAACACTGAACAGAACACTAATAACCTTATTTTGGTAAAATAGTCACTATTCTAGGCAACAGATCATATAGAAGTGTTGTTACTCGCTGGTGAAAATTAGCTTCTAGAACTCTTAGTTCAAGAGTATGTTCATGACGTAAAAAAATCTCCAATTGTTTACATGGCAGGAATTGGACTGAGGCCTGGACTTTATTTTAGAATAGCTAATTTATAGGAAAATGCAAATAACTGAAATAATGCCATGTATTCTATATGAATTCATATAACTTTATTCACTTAAGAATTTAGATAACTGAAATAATTCTACATATATAAATATACAGCATAAATATAGTCATAAGGAATGAATATAATTTCATAAGAATATATATTTGACTATATAAATGTAAATCATTTAAGAATTAAAAGATTTTTGGCTGGGGCCGGCCCCGTGGCCGAGTGGTTAAGTTTGTGCGCTCTGCTTCGGCGGCCCAGGGTTTCACCAGTTCGGATCCTGGGCGCAGACATGGCGCTGCTCATCAGGCCATGCTGAGGCGGCATCGCACATGCCACAACCAGAAGGACCCACGACTAAAAATATACAACTATGTACTGGAAGGATTTGGGGAGAAAAAGCAGGGGAAAAAAAAAAAGACTGGCAACAACTGTTAGCTCAGGTGCCAATCTTTAAAAAAGAAAAAAAAGATTTTTGGCGTATAAACACTAATGTGAAATAGAGCTTGTCAAAAACAAAGCAATTTCAAAAAAAAACAATAAAACTATGTGACGTGTATACAAAGTAATCAAATGCTCAAACTGTGGTTGTGTTCTCTCTGAAAGCTTTATGCTTCATGCCCCACCTGTGATTTTTCCACAGACGCGTTGTGCTTGTCACACATGGGACTTATCTCCATGCCCCGCTCCCTCTCCCGGTCTCCTTGGCGGAAGAACTCCTCCATGATGCGGTCCGTCCACTGGCGGTACAGCTGCAGGGGCTTTGTCGGGTTGCTCAGGTCTGCACAATGCACCATATTCTGAAGGACCTAAAATGGACGAACGCATTCTCTATTCAGCACATGCTCCTTTTTTTTATTCTTTACTAGAAATTCACATTGGATGATGGTGACACTTCAAAATACATGTAGCGTAAGATTCATTCCAAACGGCTCAACCATGATGTGTCTGTATGTGATTCGCGCTTGTATTAATAGTCCCAAATTATGCCACTTCTACCACATCTAAACATCATAGGAGAAACTGTTTACGCACACGGGTGATTAAACTCAGAGCTGCTTAGTGGTTGGTTTTACGGAATGTTAGGTGTTTTTTTAAACACATATGCAAATGAAAGGGCCAATACGATTTTATCTGGTTAATTCGCAGGATTGAGAATTTGGATAAAAATCCTGCTTATAATTACTAAAATTATAAGTTGGGAGAACAGAATCATAAATCTTATCAAAGCTAGACACACAGCAAATTCAAACGATGCTTTACCTGAATCCTATCAGAATAATTATCAAGAAGAAGAACTCCAGAACTTGTCACCTTCTTTGTTTCAACCATTGTTTTCAAATCAGCCAGGAGGTTCATGTGTTTTGACATGTCTGTTGCAAGTACCTTAAAAGACAAAGAGTATTTCATTGAGTTAAAAAGTCCAGAGGAAAAAAGTTAATGTGCACATGAAAATATTATGCAGAATGTGAGAAGAAATGGAAAGCCTGGAAGTCACCCAATAACAGTGCATGGAAATTCTTTACTACTTCTTGGGGCAGAATCTTTTCCCCTTTGCTGTCAAGTTTTCTGGAAGCTTGTATAAACATGTGCAATATACAGAAACAGGAGGCACCGGCAACCACTCTCACTATGAAAAAAAGGGACGATTTCTCCATAAATAAGACATCGCCACACGTTTTGAAGATTTTTCCATTCCTTGGACCAGAAAGTGGTTACTAGACTAGGATGAAATGATTCAAGGCTGCTCACAGAATACTTCAGAAACAGAATATTCTGGTTGGTTTTCTCCATATGCAAGACAGATAATTCCTACCTTTGTATGTATAAAGCTTAACATTAATTAATTAAAAGCTTAAAGGATAAGTTTTTTTGAAAACCAGAGGTTTTCCCGTGTTTTGTAATCACTGGGAATAATATGCATGGAGACAAGAGTAAAGTCATGGATGTTTCTAAATGGCACTGTCACTGACAGAGATTTTTTTAATGGAAAAAATCCGTTTGAGCTATGGCCAGTGCCCTTTGCTTTTGTTAGATATCTTTCTCTGCCTGTCACCAACCAGAGGAGTTCAGAAAATAAAACTACCATGACAGGGGTGAGCTGTCCATATTCTTAACTCCAAACTGCTAGAGGTAGAAAACCTATTACAGAATATCCCTGCCAGCAGCAGGGGCAGCTTCTCAAACATAAAGGGCAACAATAGGTTTTGCAATACATGGTTTCTTTTACTTGATACTCATCTCATTCCTATTTTTTTCCAAACAACTTGCTGCGCAGTTCTCTTTTTTGCTTTTATCAGCTACTTACGATGTCAATGACCATTTTCCTTAATGATTGTCTTTGCTTTTTCGTCAAATTCTGGAAAATGTCACAGTTTTCTTCCTGAAGCAACTTAAAGCCCACAGCCAAATGATGGTTCTCCAAGACAGAAGAATCATTGTACATCAAGGCAAGTTCAGAGTCTTGAAAGAAAGACAAGAGATGGACAATGAGCAAAACCATTTATTCTAAGTTTATCTGATTCTTCATATTCTGAGATACTTTAGGTTTAGGAAGCAATTTCTCCTAAACATCTCAGCTGGCCTTACCATTATATGACAATACCTAGGAGAGAATAAACTAGCTAAACGTAACAGTGGAACGAGCACTGGAATCTTGGGAGTGAATTCTAATGCTACTGACATGTGGCAGGTCATTTCCTTCTGCGGGCCTCGCTTCCTCTTCTCTAAAGTGCAGGAAGAGTTGGAGCAGAGGATCTTGAACCTCCCCTCCAGATCCGCCATAGGGAGCGCCGTAAGCTCAGCAGAATATGACATTATTCTTAATACTTGCAACTTGTCTAGAGTACAGGTGCATGTTCCTGATAACTGCGGACTACCCGTCCCACAGTATATATAACGTAAGGACTGTGTGATTTAGGATTGTTTGTCCTCAGAGAAGGTACAAGAACAGTTTGGAATACATGAGGGATATTGGATTTGTTCATGCTCTTACTTATTTTCTTCCATAGTACAGCTTTGAAAGTTGAAGCTTTATTTGTTTTTCCACTTCCAAGTACAGTGGCAGTCACACTATACATGTACATTGCCCTTCCCGCCTGCACGTGCATGACTTCACACAGAGACAGGTGTTTGCCTGCCTACATAACTCCATGGGAAGATTCTGCTGCTCTCTCACCACTGCCCTGGACCTGTGTATTTCAGGCAGCAGGAGATCCTGTCTCTTTTCTGGTTCCAGTAAATGGCAGGCCTGGATCTATACGGTAGTCATTAAAAACAAAAAAAATTGACTGGTGCTTTATTCTGTTCCCACTTAAGTCATTGTAAAGACTAAAAGTAAGTGTATTTGATTTTTTTTTCTGGCTAATGCATAGAAAATATGTTTGGAAATATATATTCTTTTCTAAGAAAGAAATACCCAGTACTGCTCAATGACTATTTAAAGGAGCTAGGGAGGAGGAGAGAGCTCGAAGGTCTGTTTCTACTGTGAAATCCCATGATTTGATCAGTAGTATAGAAATAGAAATTTACACACATAAGTTTTTGCTCCCAAACTACAGGAACAGAGGTGTCTGGAGTACCACAGAGTGGATGTGTAAGGTATTGTTGTCTTTTGTGTTTGTTTTAAATAAAGCAATAGTGTTCACTTTTAAAATGGTGGTATCTGGTCAAGTCTTACTTTTCAATAGTCTAGAAAAACCACTAACTGTAACATTTATCTATAGATAGTTAAACATACAGAAATAAAAGCTTTTATACTATATAGGATCTTAGCAAATATTGTTTCTATAGTAGAATCATGTTAAATAAATGTCTATTGAAAGGAAGGCATGTTTTCTGACTGGAGAAATAATGCCCAATTAATCTATTAGGGTTCTTCTCAGGGAGTAAATATGCATGTAGATAAGGGGCATTAATGGAGGACCTGAGTCAGGCTTACAAAAACCCAGATTGGTTTATATGACACGTAAAGAAAGATGAAAGAAATTAAGACTATTGTGCCTGCAGAAAACAAGATGAGAAGCTGTTACTTTAAGAAAGAGGCTGAGCCATGGTATGCGTGTTACAACAAAGCCTCTGAGTTCTACTCGAAGTAAGGGTGGCCTTTCATGCAGGGCTTGTCCAAGAGCCCTAGCCAAGCCTGCCTTGGAAGGGATGAACTCTTCACATTCAGTTAGGGTCCACACAGGCCAGAAAGGCCATGACACAAATCCTTACTGCACGAGTGGCCTCTCCAATCTTGGGGACTGTTACAGGGAGGCGGTGGTGACTACTGATTTTTAAATGAACAAATGTTAGCAACTGAATCTCAGGATAGTCATTTCACTTTCTACTTTTCTTTGGGACTGAAGGAATGTGGCCACATCTAAGTGGGGGAAGTAAGATTCTGCAGCTCCTCAGTAGATTTTCCCCAAAGACGGTGATCCAGGACTTCAGCAGAGATTCCCTGAAGGTTCAGGAATAATCAGAAAGTTGCCTTCAAACTTTGCTCCAAGGTACAGTAGCACAGAGGAGGAGAAAGAATAGTTTATACAAAATTTCTATTGAAACCCTCTCATCTTCAAGGCCCGAACAAGTTACCTCACCCAGGAAGCCTTTCTGGATTACCCCAGCCAGAACTGTTCACTTTCTCCTATAAACTTCTATATACTTTGTACCACTCATTTGGCATTGATCACATTCCACCTTATCTGTCATTATCTCCGTACAAATCTTAACAGTCCCTCCCAAAGACCTCCCAACCCACTCAGAGACTTAAGACCCTGTATACATTTAAAAGTAATTCATTTAAGGGGCTGGCCCCGTGGCCGAGTGGTTAAGTTCGCGCGCTCCGATGCAGGCGGCCCAGTGTTTCGTTGGTTCGAATCCTGGGCGCGGACATGGCACTGCTCATCAAGCCACGCTGAGGCGGCGTCCCACATGCCACAACTAGAAGGACCCACAACAAAGAATATACAACTATCTACCAGGGGGCTTTGGGGAGAAAAAAGAAAAAAATAAAATCTTTAAAAAAAAAAAAAAAAAAAAAAAAAAAAAAAAGTAATTCATTTAATGTGCTTGGTTGTCTGGTTTCTTCTGGGCACTTCTAAACAAAACATTTCTTCCTTGAAATGGGGAAGGGAAGTAGTGGTTTTAACTTAATATCCAGTTGCCAAGGACAAAGGATTAAAATTGCTTGGCTCACTCCCTCAGTTCATCCACTCTCTGTGCCCTTAACCTGCATTATTTCTCTCCACTGAACTATAGCCATCTCATGTCACATATTCACATGTCACTGTCTGTCTCTTCTAGCAGAATGCAAGCTCTTCAGAGCCAGGGCACTGTCTCCTTCACCCAGGCATTCCTAGCGTCTAGAGAAATGTTTGGCACAGAGTAGGCGCTTGATTTTTTGCTGAATAAAATAATGATATCTGTACTATTTCTACACTGATAAAACTAAATTTGATAAAAATGAATTTATCCTGATTTTGAAAATGTTAGATTCATACAGAAAAATAACATTGTATATGTAACCCACAAATATAGCGATGAAAGCTTATTTTAAAATAAGACTAGAGAAACACAAAAGTCTATGCAATGATAGCTAGATCTGCCTCCACTTTAACACAGTCATGTGCCACATAAAGACACTTCGGTCAATGACGGACAGACCGCATATAAGATGCTGGTCCCACAAGATTAGCATATAGCCTAGTTGTATAATAGACTATAGCATGTAGGTTTGTAAGTACACTCTATGATGTTTGTACAAAGATGAAATTACCTAACAATGCGTTTCTCAGAACGTGTCCCCATTGTTAAGCGATGCATGACTGTATAATGAAATGCCTCTGCTCTTGGAAATCAAAAGGCACATACATGCTTTGCACACGTGACTAATATGAGTAAATCTTTCTCCCTAAAACTTAGGCGTCATTGCTTTAAACAAAAATTACTCGTTTTCCAAGTAATCCTTAATGATATATGTATTTTGTACTTTTGATACCGCTTTGTTTCAGAAAACAATGCTGTGAAGTTAAATGCTTTTCTTATAATAAATTTTTGAATATAACGTGCTGGAGGGTGTTTAAGTTGCTATTTACCTTTTTTAGATTTATTTACAAGCACTGTCCTTGAAAGAGACTTACGCAGCTTCCTACCTGGAATGTCAACATCTTTGAATCCTATTCAGACTCCCTCTTAGCCCTAAATCATTTATAAAAGCTTAATCAGCCCTGCCAAGTAGAAATGATCTCTCTGTTTTCAAAACCTACAGTACGTTTACACTGAGTGTATCATTAGTATCAAAGCATTTGGTGTCTAAAACTAACACAAGTGATATGATTAATGGGAACTATCATCACAGCTAAGCAGCAGTCGCATAACTGGACTGGGAATCAGCCAGGCGAGCCCCAGTGCCCCTCTCCCAGAGGGCCCACACAACTCGCTGAGCCTCTGTAGCCCCCTTACAACAGGACTGGGGCCTCCTAACTATGGGCTTACACATTTGATGGTTAGAAGTCTTTAGACCGCTTTATTACAAGAAGCACAGACTCGACCTTTGGCTTTGGACAAGTCGACAGCACCAGCTCGAAGGTAAGAGCTGAGAGTGTGCTAGTCTGAGCTGCCGATGCTCACTCAATCCATGAAAGAAAGAGAAAACACAAACTTGATGTTTATAAAAACACGGTTTACTGCAAACTAAAAATAATCACATAATTTTGATAAAGTATTTCACAAAGCTATTTATTACAAGTTTACAAGTTATTAGAGGTCCTTTACAGTATGCTATGAAGTTAAAGCTTATTTGTGTTACTGGCTACTAAGCCTCTTCTGTGTCCTGAAATAAAATGCTTGCTGGCATGATCCCTGGTCAAAAGTGAACTAAGGCAGTAATTCTCATTATGCCCTGGGACTCTGATCAACCCTGGGACACTTTCATGTACCAGATGATGATGCTGATTCATCCTCTCGGGAATAACACAATCTCATCGCACCCCACCCTCAAGAAAACATGAGCAATCCAAAGCTGCTCTGGGAACTATTAACCTCCCAGTGCTGCTGAGGACCCACAGAAAGATCATCATCACAGCAGCCCTGATGACAAAGAACTTTCAGAAGCAGGATTAGTTATCCTTCCACCCGAGGCAGGTCATCAGCAAAACGACCTTAAACAGATATCCTTGGCCACTGTCCTTGTATTTATAATTATCCCCTAAATTTCTCCATTATCTATCTTAGCGGGTCCCAACTTGGAGGGCATCATATTCATTTGTGGACTAAGGCCTTGCTAGTTTAAATTTCAGACTCCATGGGTACCCTGAGGGGTCTCCAGTACCAGCCTATTTGCCCTTAAAGGGTCCACAAGAAAGAATGATGGAGCTGCTCCTCATTTTTCTTAAAAAATTTATCAGAGTACTCCAACGTTTTAATTTTTCTCTAATCTAGTCTTAATTCTAATGTTATAAGGGCACATGCAATACTGTATATAATAGGATACGAGGAAAACACACTCGTCTGAATTTTTGGAGTTATTAATTTAAAGAAGAAAATGCATATCTTTCTTAAAGGCAAAAATTAAAACAAAAATTTATGTATTTGTTGAAAATCTATAAAATTAGGAGCATATCATGTCATGCCTAAATATCAAAATAATAAATCAGGCCAGGCTAACAAAAAGCGCCAGAGCACACTGTAGCATATGGTCTCCCGCTCTTCTCAGAAAGGACGCAGTCAACCCTCACCACTGATACAGCATAAAACTATGTTGCTGCATCTAATCTGTTACTATTCATGTATTAATATTTAGTAAGGCTTTGATGACTCCCGAAAGCACCCCATTATAAGTTCTTGGAAGACAGATGGAACATGAAATGTTATCCTGTCTAATCCTGGATAAATAAGTTCATAAACCAAACTTCTAAAATGTACTTGACTAACCACACATGTCAGGAAATCCAGGACTTTCCCAATCCTCCTACTCTACGTGAGTGAGCCACTAAAGTACATGTCGTCATAGGGTAGTCCAGAGGCTATTAAAAGATCTAAAAATAAATCTAAATAATCCTAAAGATCTGAGTTAAATCTCTCAAAGCCAAGCTACATTTAAACTCTCTCTTTAAATCTGGCGGTGGCAAAAAATGTAGGAAATGAATGGTGACTGCACAGAGACCACTAGAGCTAGATTGCTACAGGGCGTGAGAAGGCCCTGTCCACCAACTCATGGCAAAAAAAGAAAGGCAGACTCTCAACAGATACAGAAAAAAATTTAACAACTTTGCATTTTATTTTTTTGTATATAAAAGCCAATTTATAACATTAATCTACCATAGTGGAAGAAAATAAATAACAGTTCATTTAAATCATTTACCAGTTAACTTCAAGTAACAGAAGAGCAGAATTTCTGTAACACGTACCCTCTCTGCAAAGGCACAGCTCATGCACCACCTAAACATTCCCTACAGAGGGGTCCTGTGCAGCTGGGTGTCAGGGATGCCCCACACTAAACAGTCTCCAACACTCCTTCTATTTCCAAATTTAGCGATGACTTCTTATTTGATGAAATGTCACCAGTGAGAAAAAATTTAACAGTTAAAAATATTGAATAAAAGAGAAATAAAAAGAGATAATAAGTAAAAGAGAAGTTCCTATTGCTCTCAGTAGGAGATTTAAAAAGGAAAGAGCAGAGCCGGGCACGGTGGTGGAGGGGAAGGGTAGTTACGGCCTCTGAAGAGGATTAAATGACAACCTACCTAAAGTCAGGAAGGTTTAACAATAATGCTGACTTTTTCTTTTTTTATTTAAAATTTTAGGGGCAATGTAACTATTTAAACCTTTCCGCAGACTTTCACTTTTGGATTGCCCTTGTTTATTAACATGGCAATGCATTATTTCTAGAGAAGTACTGGAAGGCATGTTTTTCCAAACATCACAGGTCTCAGGGGATAGAACAGTTTTTAGAGCTAAATTACATTAACATCCATTCTCACTAAAATATTATGTTTACACATCTCAAACAAACATCATGGCTCTGGAAACACCCTAACTTTATAAAGACCTTCACTCATTCTAAGACGTACAGCGGAGAATTTTTTTCTGCAAAAATAAACTTCACTTACTTGTATTGATCAGAAACTGATTTGACACACCAGGATGATCTACATCATGTATTGCACTAGCAAAAATTGCTGCAAGAATCTCCAAATCTGTAAACACAGCCTGGAAAATCAGACAATATAGATAACGTTACTCTTCTATAATAACAAATTAAAGGTATATACAAATGGGAAATTACTGCCTGGAATTTGATGGAAAACAAAATGAAGCTTCAAAATATATTATCATAATGTATCAAGAAGGGAGATAATGAGTTATTCATGAACCTTTTAAGTGCAATTTTAGAGAAAATATTTTACCTAATTTAATTATAACTCACGATCAAACCTTTTTCATTGGTTATATTTTAAAAAATATTACAAAAGGAGTGTCTAAAATTCTTTTAAAGAAAATAATGGCTTATTTTAAAAGTACTTATGTTTAAGTATATTTGAAAAATGTACATAAAATTAACAACATGAGCAATTCTTTTCTTTTCTTCCATTCAAACTAGGGACTCTCAACCTCAGCAGAATTGACATTTGGGGCCAGATAACTCTCTGTTGTGAGAGGCTATCTGGTGCACTGAAGAATTTTCAGCAGGATCCCTGGCCTCTACCTAAAAGAAGCCAGTACCTCCCAGTTGTGAGGGACAAAAATGTCTGCACATGTTGCCAAATGTCTCTGTGAGGGTGGGAGCAGGGAGGAGGAAAAGAGAGGAACCTTTCCCAGTTGAGAACCACTCACTCGGATGATGAGGGATTAACACAATTTCCTAATGAAAACAAAATGAACCATAAAATATATTATTAGCAAAAGAGAATCTTTCCCCCAAGCAATTAAGGAAATAAACTGCTTCAATAAACATTTAATGGAACAACTTCTTAGGACTCGGTAAAATTAAAGAAGTGTTTCCTTCTAATAAATTCTACAAAAAATATCAATCCTTTGCTTATATTTTATAAAATAATCATCCTTTGAACTGTACATGGAAAAGCCATCAGACTAAATTCCAAAAAAGCTAAGTAACCAAAACTGAGTAAGCCAGGTGTGCTTTTGGAATATCCTACTAGATCATTTCAAAGAAGCAGTATCATAAACAGATGAATCCATAAATCTTTGATCAACTTTCAGACAAATTTCATCAAAGACTCAACTGTTTATTTAGCCCAACAACATTTTCCCCCCTATAACTCAACATACTTCCAATGAAGCCAATTATTTTCTGCACTGCATACCCTTTAGTATAAAAGTTTAAAAGACCTTTATGAATGGCAAGTTAGTGTTCTTGAAGTTTTAGCAACCAGATTTACCTCCAAAGCAGGTGTAGATAACAGCACATGCGTCGACTGGACAACATCTGCAGCATGAATATTGTTGTGGTAGGCCACATCAGCGTGGTAATGGTCTTCCAGGGTCATAAGGTATGTGATTAAAGTGTCTACTGGAATTTTAAATGTTTTTAATAAATCCCGTTCCTGTAAGAAAAGAACTCCTCTTAACATTTGGTCCTTATATACAAAGATTTTCCATAGAGTGTGTTAACAAAAAAAATCACACCCAATATCGCCTATGGATAACCCAGAAATGGACACAGCTCTTTCACAATGTCTAGTGATGAAACTGGAAACCTTTAGGACAATCCAGGGACTTCAGGGACGAAACCAGAGTCTACTTGCCCTTCTGGAGCCCAACAGTGCTTTACCCAAGATGTATAGTGTCAGGAATGAGCTGCCAACTATGAAAGTGTTTGTGTCCCCTGATCATGAGGACGGCTTCAGTCCAGCAACACTGAGTCAGCCACTGGATCACACCAGTTGAAACTCAACATTCTCCCTAGGGCTGGAATCTGCTATTCCACTCCCAGGGTATCTAAAGCCTCAACTTCTCATTTAAATCTCAACCCTGAACTTGCGCAAAAGCTCAAGAGTGAGAAACATATATGAAGAAGAGAGAAGTACATAAAACAGGATTGAAGAAATTACATTCTAAACGTAGTCAGCAAGGGGCTTATTCATTTTCTAAAGGTAGCACTCCATTCTCTATGTGAGTCAGGGTCATGAAGATGATTTGTAAACTATTATTTTAATGAACTGCTTCAATTTTCCCACATCACATCTTTTTCTTAAATGGAAAAAAATAATAAAATTGGTTTATTTGTGTTTGACCCACACACCAACCCTTCTGTATCCTTCTTTGTCCCTGGGTGAAGGGGCAAAGAAGAAAAAAGTATCAAAATAAGCAAAAGAAGGTAAGTAGCAAATAAGATAAAATGTATGCACAATTCACAGACTGGACATTAAGTCACTAAATAAAAGAAAGGTGACAGAATTTGGCCACATTACCTGAAAAATGGTGTGCATGATAACAGTCAAAGGCCGGTTACCAGACAACTCTGCTATTCTGAAAACATGAAGACCCCATTTGTTCACATCTTCTAGTTCCTGGGGTTAAAGAAAGACAGAAAAAATCAGAATGTGGAAATAGAACACGGAACAATGAACAGTCATTTTAAAACTACTGACTTTAGTGAAAAGATGTTAGACTTTTAAAAAAATGATTCATTTTAAATGTAATTGTTGTACCAAGTAAGTCCAGGCAAACTTTAGGCAAATTCACTTAAACATACCGCAAACTAGGGGCTGGCCCTGTGGCCGAGTGGTTAAGTTCGCGCGCTCTGCTGCAGGCGGCCCAGTGTTTCGTTGGTTCGAATCCTGGGCGCGGACATGGCACTGCTCATCAGACCATGCTGAGGCAGCGTCCCACATACCACAACTAGAAGAACCCCCAACAAAGAATATACAACTATGTACCAGGGGGTTTGGGGAGAAAAAGGAAATAATAAAATCTTTAAAAAAAAAAAAAAATACCGCAAACTAAATAGAATTGCTTAATTTTACACCTTTGATAATAGAACATATTTAAATACTTTAAATATCAACCTCAGAGCATTTCTTCAATAGATAAAATTTATTCACAAAAACCTTAACTAGTCTCCTAAAACCCATAAGATATAACAGATTTCTAACTTTTTAAGGTCAAACAATCAAATGTAGATGCAGGAAAGTAAAGATATACCAAACCGAATAATTTAGAGAGCTTTATAAAGTGCTTTCCCATCTTCCCCCACAAATTAATGAACTTATCCATCTATTTAAAAGAGAATGAATCAAAGTTCATTAAAAGACATCCCTGCATATTAATGATCAGGATCCTTGAAATCGTCTTACCTTGGCAAGGACGTCTTCTTGTTCAGTTTTAACCCCAAACCTTGGGATGCTGGAATTAGTCAAACTGGAGCTGTGCATCAACTTCTTGACCCCACTGATCTGAGACATCGGCCTTTTCTTTTTCTCCTTTTCCTTCTGAGTTGGAGAAGGAATTTCCACTTCATGTTGCTTATCTTAAAAAATTTAAAAAATGTTTACATTTACTATTAAATCTACCTTGGGTTTTTTTTTAAAATCATAATAAGCATCACTGGACAGGTTTTAATTGATCATTATAGATTCCAGGAAATGTTTCCATGTAAAACTCCTTTTAGAGAAACTGAGCATTTATATGGACTTAATATGATATCCTCAAACACAAAATTAAGCAAATAAATTCCACTGCAAAACAATTAACATCAAATGTATTCAGTGGTTACTTGTTTGATAGAAGATCCTGAAACATTGTTTTCAAGACATATCACGATACCAGACTTAGAAAAAGCAAAACACACTGGCTATTTCCACGGTTCATCAACTCCATTCCTATTTGAAATTCACTTAGTGGCTTGAAAACTGCTCTTGCCAACTAAGGATTCCAGTCCCAAGACCTACTGTGAAATGGTAGAAACTTCATACACAAATACAAAAATAGCAGTGTGTTTTCTAAATTCCTTTTAGAGAAACTGAAAAGTTATCTTGTAAAGCAAGATAAGGGTTACAATTTAACAGGGGGAGCATAGAAAATCTCCAGTATTATCTGATAAGAAAATATCAGATTCAATTGTTGCTTTCAAATAAAAGACATAAGATGTATCAGTACATTCATCCACTAATTCAAAGCAGCGGGCTCCTCTAACTCATCCTTGCACATAGTACGTGTTCAATAAACATCTATTTAATGAATGTGCTAATTAGATATTACAGCATTTTGTTTTGAAAGTAAATTCAAACCAAGGATATGTTCAAGTTATTGACTTTCACTTCCTGCATTTTCTTTCCGTGAACCGGGGGTGTGGGGTCGGGGTGTCCCCGTTCACCACTCTCAGCTATTATCATCAGCAAGCTTTTCTTTAGCAATTGCACTGTATCTACCTCATCAGTTTACCTAGCTTGGTGTCCATTAGGCTATCAATTCATTGAGGGCAGGGATCATTTCTAATACGTCACTAAATACCTAGTGCTCAGCAATGGCCTGCATTTAACAAGAATTTGTTGAAGGCATACATAGATCTCACCATGAATGCATTTTGCTGTTTAGTACCTTGGAAAAACTGGCAATATACAACTTTAATTCAGAGAGTCCCTAAAGTCCCAAATGAAACTGAAAGATAAAAAAATGTACTTTTTTAAATCACCCTAGATTCTAAAGCTTTAGAGGCTTAGAGGCTCAAATTATTAATATGATGAATGAAAACAAATGGAATTTCTAACACTTGTTTGGTTTCCAAAATGAGTTGATGCTCCAATCTACCTCCAAAAACAAACAACTCAAAAGAAAATTGAAAAATTGTATTTAAATTGTTATTCTCACCTAAGAATGTGTTTGATATATACTCTGACACTTGATTTCCAGACCGACTCATTTCAGAGAGATGGGTGAGCTCCCGATTAAGCATCCTTTTAAACTGAAAAACAGAAAGATCAAATGAAATAAGAGACAAGGAAAATTTAAATGAGATAACATTAGCATACCCTAAGATACAGAAAATTTGCCCAGATAACTTTCAATTACTCTGACAGTGTATATCACTGCCATCCAATAGAACTTCCTGCAATGACGGAAAAATTCTATAATCTGTGCTGTCCATTACAGTAGCCACTAGCCACATGTGGCTACTAAGCGCCTGAAATGTGGCTAGTGTAACTGAGGAGCTCAATTCTATTTAATTTTAATTAATTTTAATTTAAATAGACCACACGTGGCTACTGGCTACCATACTGGACAGCAGATTTACACACTCAAGGACATTAATTAAGGAGAAAACAACATGCAAAAATATCAGGGTGCATTATTAGTATTTAGAGAAGAAAAAATAATAATTTATAGGCACACAAAAGTACTGCCACACAATAAAACATGGTATATTTTATCAATTAATTTGTCATTAACAGAAACAAATACTGGTCAGAAGTTAAAATGCAGTCTTTTACCCCAAAGCAAAACCGAATAGATTTATTTGAGTACTCTTCCAGAACTATGGAGAAATACAATATTTGACTAGATACTGTATGTTTCCTTTTGAAAGTTTTTTCCAAGTTGGGAATCTAAGATTTATTACATCTCAGCATCCAAAGAATTTACCAATCCATTCCCCTAAGTCACATAAATACAACAGAGGTCAACTTTAAATACTCTACTTCTTTACTTCACAATTTATTTTACTCATGCCCATGGTGCCTATTTTATCCAAAGAAACACTGGAATTAAATGACCACCACACGGCATTACCAAAATCCAGAATTCTCAAAGACGTTATGCTTTCCCATCCATCAATTGTTTCTTGATGTGTCTTCCTTTGACTCCCAAAATAGCCCAAATAAGCCTTTTAATGTACCATCATATTTCTCTTAACATACAAAAGCAATACATTTTTTCCATACATAAAGTAACTACTATTACATACTTGATCAAAAATAGTCACATTTTACTCTAATATTTAGTAGCCTTTAACATTTTGAATTTTACCATAAATTCTCTTTTACATCTAGGGGAAAGAGAGTAGTGAGTTTATCATTTAGTAATGTTTGAAATGTAATTCTAAGTATTTAATTAGCTTATTATAATTTTTTAAAAACCTTGCTTTTCTGCATAATTCATACCAAGGTGTTCCAACTCAAGACAATTTGGCAAATCACTTCCAAAGTCAATTTTATTGACCATCTAGATTAGGTATAAGAATTTATCACCAGAAAGCACTGAGGGAAAGCAATAATAACATTTCAACAGACTGCTGCATGTATATTAGAAATGTATATTAGCACTCTCCTGCAACCAAAACTGAACTGCTCGTAACCAATACAAATTCTTCTGGTTGTTAATTTACAGGTCTAGGAAGCTTCTTCTCAAACTCAGGAACAAAAATTTCACATTCTTTGTTCATGTATATTTTTTATAACTTTTCTCTGATTATAAAACGCACATGTAATATAGAAAATCTAGAAAGCTATATAGAAAAAGATTAGAAACCATGTATATATCTCCCCACTGCTCAGAGATCACTATAATTAGCTGTATTTCTTTTATGCCTTTTTTTCTTTACATTTGTATGTATATTTTTAAAATTGGCACCATGCAGTATATAAAACATGGGTAGCTCCTTCTTTTCACTCAGCATTATATGTTATGATCCACTGGGGGGGAAAAATAAAATTGTAGGCCTTCTAAGAATATTCATGAAGACATTTACAATAGTGTTCATAATATTTTCTGTTCATCTTTTATAAAGTTACATTTTCTTGAGTAAGTTATCAATTAATTAAATGAGGTAACAGAAAGTGTCTTGTATTTAGACTAGCACACAGCAGGTGCTCAACACTGAGTTCTTTCTATCTCCCAGTTCCCTGGGCTTTTTATATTGTAGCTGATTTTTATCACTGCAGGATAAAAGATGGAAGATCCGAGTATAGTTATACCCATAAAAAATACATACCTAAATATCTTGCTCCCTTATCTGTCCCCCAAAATAATTTAGGATATTATTCATATAGGAAATGGTCGCCATGCTTCAAAAATATAATGATAATACCACACATAAGGCCCAAAGGTAAGTAAATCCTTGCTTAACAAATTAAATTTACTCTTGGAAAAATCTACTCTTTAGGCAAAACACGTTCAAAAGAGAGTCTGCTAAACATTTTAAACATACATTTAATGAAATATCTCTTTGACCTAAAATGATCTGAGCTATACAATGAAAGTTGCTATTAAGAACTGCCTGGTCACGAGAAAGTCAGTTTTTGCTTTAGTTATCTGTACTAACTGACTATTTTGACGAATTGTATAAGCAAATGGCCAGGAAAATTACACTTCATTCTTTATACTCTTCCAGATAAATCCAATAATTTGTGTAGCACATCTGCAGGTACCATGCAATTTTTCTGCTTGGGCATATTGCAACACATTGCTGGTACCAGGTTGCTTACACTTTAGAAGGTAGTTTGGTGGAAAAACTCGGTCCCTATCGAACTGTTCCAATTGGGCCCCCTTCCCCACAAAGCTTGCATCATTTTTTAGTTGCAGAGTTTAATTACATATGCATGGAGGGCAAGTGGACAGCAGTTCCTGTATAGGCTGCAGAGACTAGGAATGACTGATTCTTTTTGTATCATATGCATATATTCCCAGACTACTCTTTTGCCTTTGCTCAAAACCCAAAAGAGTAGGGTGGAGAAACCCTTCATCACACACCTATCTCCCTACCATGGCTTGTGAGGGCTCTAAGGAAGTCAACACTTCCTTTTAATACAATGAGAAGAGACAACATTTTGAGCAGTCCTTTCTTTCCAAGGGAAAGGGTGTGGGAGAGCTCCTAAAGACAATTTTCAGAGTCAATTAACATGGGGCTTTTCTAAAAGGAATAAAAATTGCTTCCTTTTTAGCTATTGATATAAAACTTTCAGTCCAGGGAAGCTAAATTAATAACCACAAAAATTACCATCAGTGCTTTCTTAATTGGTAGCTGATCTTACAATCTGGTTTCGGAGTTCACAGCTGTATGTACTGAAGAACAATAAATTACACCATTCAACACTCATTTCTAAACCTAAGTGGAATTTCTCTCATTTTCAGATAACTACATACCATTTATTACGATAACTATTTAAAATTACCATGAGAGGGAAAATGATTAAAAAAAGTAATAAAATGTATTTCTCCTAAACACTGTTACAGTTCTCAATTTACAGATTTAGAAGAGATAAAATATACAACTGCTGTTCAAAGGAACTAGCTGCAAGATGCAGAACAATTTAATTGAGCATTTAGATATTTTTAAAAGTGAACTCTAAATGTTTTCTGTTGTCAGGTAACTGTGATTGTTTTTTGGTCTAAACAGTCTGAAATAATATGTACAGTTATTGTTGCAACAAAGAAAAAAGGAGGAAGATTTCTAAGTGAATGCTTTCAAATCCTTTGTTCTCACTATGCATCAGATTGTCTGTGTGCAGCATTTAAAGCATAAAGGAAAGTGAAAATGCAGTTGAATACTGTATTTTGCTTTTTAAACTCCAGTTTTCCAATTCATGCTCTACATTTCAGACTGCTGGGGAAACAAAATTAAATAATAAAACAAAATTAAAGTATTCTTAAATTCAACCCCTGCACTTCTGCAGTCATGCCAACGTGCCACTGGGCACACTGTCTGTCCTCCTCGCGTATAATTAAGAAGGTGTTAATGGTCAAACATTGAGAAAACGCTTGTCTCCCTCCCCAATATCCTGCTAAGAATCATTGAATATGCTACACTGTGATACGAAAAGTTTGGTAGATACTAGCATTAAAAGCTAAAATAAATACTGCATTAGCTGTATAAAATTCAATCCTTCAAACTGCATAGGAAGACTAAAGATGTTTATATTTGTCCTTAAGTGTTTTTAGCAGTATAGTATTAAAAACATAAAGCTGTCCAGCAAAAATTTTCCTTAAAGAGACAAGCACTAAAAGCCCATATTGAGATTCCTGGAGGTGTTGTTCATAATCATACTACAAATGTGAAGTCCTTCAAAAATGTATCAAATACGATCTGTCTAGAAGCTAAGAGATGAATTCTAGGGGGATCAAAAGGGTTTCCTTTATTACTCTCTATACTTTTCTATATTTAATATTTTTTAAGCCAAGAAATGGTTAGCAAAATCCAAATAACGAAAATCTGTATATTTAAAAAACCACTAAAAATATCTGGACCATTCGTAGATTTAAAAGGAGGTGGGGAATCATGACTTCTTAGACAATCAAAACTGAAATAAGTTTTCTTAGAATGCAAGTAAATCTCACAACAAAGAGGAAATTTCCCTTTAAAAACAAAGAAAATGAAAAATATTTCCATCTGAGAGTACTTAAAAGTAATAGAAGGATTCTTAAAAAATACGTATTGCGATGGCTCAAGTACTCAAGAACAAATTTCCATTTCTAAACTGATGCTTCATTTAGGGCAGAAAAAGGTTTTTCTACCTCTTGCTTCTAAAATAGAGAAAGGATTGCCAGGCTAGTATTACCATGGGGCATTCAAGAAGCTTGCCAAGCAGGAAAACAATCTTATCAAATGCAGTGTATTAATTCATTTCTTGAGATTAACAAATGTAACAGTATCACTTAAACTTATAAATATCTTCCAGTTTTATAAGTAGATAATCAAGTTTTCATTTTAATAATATATCACCTAAAAAATCAAGCAATGTAATTTTTAATGTCATCTAGAGCTTTATATCCAAAGGTAAAAAATAAATATACTCCTCATCAGGTCAAACTAGTACAGATTTTTAGAAAAAGCCACAAATTAATTTTTAAAAGCTTTAAGTGATGCATACTAACTGGCATCTGTACACCAGTATAAGTAACTTAGCCCAACAATTTATTTCCAATGAATTTATTTAATTACTTTGATATTTAAAAGCACAACTCAAATCT